GCCACTGTGGAAACAGTATGGAGATACCTCAAAAAATCAAAAATGGATCTGCCTTTTGACTCAGTGACCCCACTTCTCAGAACACATCTGAAGAAACCCAAAACACTAATTCAAAAGAACATACACACCCCCATGTTCACTGCAGCATTGTTTGCAATGGCCAGATACGGAAGCAGCCCAAGTGCCCATTAGTAAATGAACAGATAAAACAACTAGGAGACATTTACACAATGGAATGCTGCTGGGCCATAAAAATTTTTTTTACTCTTTGTGACGGCATGGATGGACCTGGAGAACATTATGCTAAATGAAATGAAGCCAGCCAGAAAAAGACAAATACCATATGATTTCACTCATGTGGCATCTAATGAACGAACTGAACTAACAAGCAAAAACAGAGACACGTAGATGGAAAGCAGATGACAACTAGTGGGGGGAGGGGGTGGTTAGTGGGTTAGGGATCATGGACAATAGTGTGGTGATGGTGGGTGGTGGGGGATGTAAGAGGGTTGAATGGTAATGGAAAAAAAAAGACTGAGTAAAAAAATAAATCACTTCTAGGCCCCATTTTACAGTGCACTGGCCAGGTCAAGCTTTAAAAGTAGAGAGGGCAGTGCCTCCCAGAAGCCAGGCTGAAAGCAAAAACAGAAGCCAAGTAAACCCACAGCGATGGTCTTAAACTTCCAAATCTTGTCTCGGAATTTGATGGGGCCCTCGCCATGCCACAGGCAGCGAGTGGCTTCCTCAGAGAAAGAAGAGTCACCACCAGGAGAAATGGTAGGGGCGGAACCAACTAGCAAGGGGACAGGTGATTCTAGGGAGGGGAACGGACTAGGACTCGCTCAGAGGTTTTCCCCCTCTCCCACTCACAGTCTTGCTTCAGTTCCTCGCAGGTGCCACTGAGAGGCAGATAAACCTGCACAGGCAAGGGTCTGTATCACAGCAGAAGAACCCCCAAACATGAGTCTTGGAGCAACTCCCCTATAAGGTCTGTTTAAAGCAGAAACAGCCTCACACCGTTCTCTTGGGATGGACGAAAGGTCAGGTGTTCTCTCCCCAGTTCAGATGGGGAACCAATGACTCTTCTCAACCCATGACCTGTGGCTGAGGCTGGAGGCCCCACCGAGGTAGAAGAAACGAATTAATCAAACTCAACAGGGCGAGAGACAGAAGGCACTGAGGAAGCGCTCCGTCCCCGCGCCACCTGCAAGTTCTTGGTGTGAATCGCTCTTTTTAACTTTGGGTTTGTGAAGAACAGGGTGCGTGGAGCCCAGAACCCGGGCAAGGCTGAGTTAAGGAACCTGTCACTGTGGCAACAAAGTGGGAAAATGACAAAAACACTTCCTTTTACTATGTAAAACCTACACCAAGCTATATTTTGTTTTCTAAGGCTGCCCTAAGCACAAATGAAAGATTATTTTTACTTTAAACATTAGCTCCATCATTGCATGTCTGTGAAACAGATGCAAGGACCAACTACACACACTCAGAAATACCTGGAACTCCCCACCAAACCCCCCACCTGTCTGTTGCCCTGACTCTTCCAGTCAGGCACACCCAGAATTCCCCTCCTCTCATGCCCAGATGTTCAGCTCTTCAAATGCTGTTGTGGAGCATGAGAGAAAAACAAGATTTTCAGAAGAGAATGACCCCGTTTTCTTAGAAAAAAGCTTCTAGCCCATCAGACCCCTTCAAGGGTGAACTTCATTTTTAGAGTAGAAATCTAATGTTTGAAAAAACAACCATAAAAACCAGAGCCAGCTGTCGTTATTGGATCTGTGACCTCTAAGGCCCGCACAGAATATGCTGGGCTGGGGTGCTGCTCTCCCCTGTGCGGGGCACTGAGGGAGGGAAGGCCACGTGCTCTGGTTCCCCATCCATTAACTGAGAACAGCCATGCCATCCTATTCTGATTCTCCCTTCACCAGAAATTTATCTTAGGGAGCCTCCGAAGCCCACTTCAGAATGAGGCTAGTTTTGCTAAAACGACCTGCTGGCAAAGCATATAGCGGCAAGCAAGCATGGATGGTTTGAGCTCAGTCCCTGGAGAAGAATTCAGACAGCGCACAAAAAAGGAGCTAAGTGATGGTGGAGTTCAACCCTTGATTCTGAAGGGAGGACCAAGGGCCACATAGGTCAAGTGTTTCAGCCAAGGCCAATCAGAGCCAAGACAAAGCCTCCTACGCCAGGGCTGCTCCCACCCCACCTGGGCTGCAATCCACTGCGCGGCTTTCTGTCAAACAAGCGGAGGCTGTGGGTTTGCCTACCCGGGAGCCTCAGGCTGCACAGAGCACAGCCTCCAGGCTCACTGTTCTCTCCCGGCTGACGCCACCAAGGGGAGTCACCAGTCGCCTGCCTCAACACACCAAGATTTGCTTCATTAAAAAAGTGCCCCATCACTACGACACAGGCTGTTACTCCCCAGGCAACAAGCTGTGACTCTCTTCTCCGAGACTTTGCCACCTGCAGTGAAGCAGGTGTGTGCCCAAGCCTCTGGGCCAGTGGAAACCAAACGGTGGCCCTGGGCTCGTGGCCCAAGCCCTGGCAGTATCCCCTAGAAGACACTCCCTAGGAGCCATTCACTGCAAGGCACCTGTGCCCCTTAAAATTTTCTGGTGGTCACATTACAAAGTAAAAGAGAAACAGGTAAAATCAGCTTTAATATCTCATCTAACCTAAGGCATCCAAAGTGTTATCATTGTGATACATAGTCAATATAAAATTTGATATTTCATTCTAAATGATATTCCTTTAGTGATTCTTTTAACAGACCTTGTCTTTTGTTGCTGCTAAGTAACATCGACTGTGGACTCCTTCAGCCAACACACCCGAGGCCACGGCCACGGCGCCCAGACACTGGGCAGGTGAAACACGCTGGATGCCACGAAGGGCACTTGCTGGAGATTTTGAACTTTCAAGGCAAGACTAAGAAGGCAGTTTATCCACACAGCACACGAAAAACAACAGAAAGCAGAAGATTTTGAGGTTCGCACTGCTAAGAAGTACCAGGGTTCCACCAAACCAGGTCTGATGGCCGCACCTGCTCTCCTGAAAGAGCACTCGCGGAGAAAAACGTGGGCAATGCGACAGCCCCGTAGCACACGACGTAACAAACGAATCCCAGGCTCGGCCCCCATGTCAGCCTTTCCTCTCTATATCATCTGGAACACTTTACAAATCCAGGTCGTTCTGAGTATGGAGTTTTACACTGTGCTTTATTAGGGCACATTACAACCATTCTCTTGAACCACTATCTCCAAACATGTGCACTCTGACAGCCATGGGGATTTTGAGGAAGGTGTCCCCTAAACACAAACTCTGGCGTCCCTCACCCTTGAAGTAATCGCATTCATCCAATCATTCAAAAAAAAAAAACCAAAAAACTATGGACCTGCCCTGGCTGGGAGGCTCAACGGGTTGGAGCATTGCCCCGTACACCAAAAGGTCGCAGGTTCAATTCCCAGTTGGAGACACACACCGGAGGCAACTGGTTGATGTTTCTCTCACGTCTTGCTCTCTCAAATCAAAATAGCATATTCTTGGATGAGGATTTTTAAAAAACTCAAAAAACTCTGACTGAGCAACTGCAGACCAGGCAGCACTGTGGGTATCGGGGATAAACGGTCACACAGAGTACACAAGGGTCTTTGCCCTCATAGAGTTTAAATTCTAGAGAAGACGGACAATATGCATACAGTGTCAGGTGCTCAAAAATGCCAGGAAAAATGCCAGGGGCGGGGGATGGACTGATTTCAGTCTACCCTGTTACGTATTGGGTGGAACCCCATGAAACTGGATCTCCACGCATTTCTAGTTTATAGCACGGCCAACTTGATATGGATGAATCGGATAGTTTGATTTCACATGGAAACAATGAGGAATGCTTCCAATGACAACGAATTATAATGAATCCCGGGAAGGCGGAAGACACACAGACCTGGGATGGACAAACTTCCTCCCCGAACAGAAGACAGAGGAGAGGCACCGGGTGCAGAGGTAATGGACGGAAGCAGCAGAGTGACGGGCTGCGGGCCGTGATCGAACGGGGGCCTCTGGCGGGAACCACCAAATGCTTTACACCCCCTGGCACTTCTCTCCGCCTCCAGATCAAGGTGCAGAGCAGTCGCCCGTCTCCGTCCAGAGCACCCTGGGAGCACCAGGAACAGGGCGGGGTGGGGGGGACGCACAGGACCCCCCCCCACTTTCTCTGTGATTTCTTCAACTACTTCTAAAGGCAGAAGCAGCTCAGGATCGTGGCAGCCTGTCATTGTTTATTTAACGTGGGGGGTAAAGAAAATGTTACGTATTACTTGTGCGGTAACGCAAAACCCCTACTACCTCCTGAGCCAACCGTGGATCTTTACACCAGGAGCAGACAAGCGGACATCTCGTGCCGCCTGCTATGACGCAGAGGGTTCCCACCAAGCACGTGTGCCTGGCTGTGATCAGGCCTCCGGAGCTGACCACTGACTCACGGCCGCAACAGGACACAGTGGAAGACACCCAGTGACACTCAGGGATGCAGTCAGCAAACCCAGCTTGTGGGGGAAGTCCCCAGGACAAGAAAGGGAACAAGGGGATGGAAACCTCTGGACAAAGAAGCTCGGTGACACGCTGGGTGTGTGACCAGTGGACCCCACCCCCCCGGGCCTTCCTTTGACAAGCCAGTTATAAAAAGAAAGCGTGTGAGACAACAGGGGAAAGGAGAACGTTGCCTAGACATCTAATACTGAAGAAACATTGAGCAACTTTTCTGTTTTTTAAATACTCCGTATTTTTCAAAGTTAGAAACTGCAGTGAATTGATAAATATTGAATCTGGGAAGTGGGAACTTGAGAGTTTATGATTATTATACTATTTTGTATTTGTTTAATACCCCCCCAAAATAAAAAGCTTAAAATAAGTCTGAGCCTGTGCTCCACCCCCAAGCCCCCACACATTGTTCATGTGGGCTGGCAATGACCTTACCGGCACCTAACGTGTCCCAGAGGACTGCTCACCTGTCGATGAACTGATCGATGATAACAATATCGCCCGGCTGAATCTCCTCCCTCAAGGAGCCGCAGGCGGTGGTCACCAGGACGTGGGTGCAGCCCTCCTCCTTCAGAGCCCACACGTTGGCCTGGTAGTTGACGTTGGAAGGCATGATGGTGTGCTGCCTGCCGTGCCTGCGGGAAGGGTTGACACGGCGGGTGAGACAGCAGCACATCTTAACTGCTAGAAAAGAAAGCTAGTTTGCAGCGGTGCCATCCAGCCTTTTCCACCAAGGCGCTTTCATTGGCAGAAGAAAAAAAAGGCTGGATGATAACCAGCCAACTCTACCATGCAGGCCAGCTTTACATTCTGTATATTTATTTTCCTACCAGGAATAGGTAGTAACTTACTTAGAACGCCCTCTCTAGGAAGATGCATTGTGTCTATTTTCTGTGGCACCAAAACCTCCCAATCTGAGGCATCCTTTCTCACATGAGCCATGACACAGAAAACGAGTGATGCCAATAAAGACAAAGTAGAAATAAAAACTCAAGTTCCCAGTTGAATCTCTCCATTCCTTCTGCCCCATTTCCCAAATAAGTTACTGACATGTTTAGAATATGAGGGTTCCCAGCTGTTTACGATGACGTCAGAAGGACTCCTCCGAGAACAGATCACCTCACACATGACCCGTATTACAGGCTGAACTGTGACCCCCCTTTACAGGTTGAATTCCTAACCCTAGCACAAGCAGAATGTGATCATAGTCGGAGACAGGGTCTTTAATAGGGGAATTGGCCTGGCTGGTGTGACTCAGTGGATTGAGTGCTGGCCTGTGAACCAAAGGGTCGCCAGTTCTATTCCCAGTCAGAGCAAGTGCCTTGGTTGCAGATCAGGTTCCCAGTAGGGGCTGCACGAGAGGCAGCCACACATTGATGTTTCTCTCTCTCTCTCTCTCTCCCTCCTTTTCCCTTACTCTAAAAAGAAATAAAATCCTTAAAAAAAAAAAGAAGAGTAATTAAGTTAAAATGAAGTCATTAGAGTGGGCCCTAATTTAACATAAATGGCACTTTTAGCAAAAGAGAAAATCCGGACAGAGACATGCAAAGAAGGCAGAACATGGGAAAATACAGGAAGAAAATGGTCATTACAAGCCAGAAAGACCCAGAACAGATCCTTCCCTCACGCCCACAGAAGAAACCAATCCTGCTGACACCTTGCCACTAGGTAGATGTGAGACTTACTTCCAACCAACAGGAGACAGCAAAGCTGCCACTGGCAGTCATGCCCCTGGTTAGGCTCCACCCTGACAGCAGAGACCCTCCTGCTGGCCTTGAAGGAGAAGGCTGGTCTCAGGAACCGCCTGCCCATGGAGAGGACACGTGGCGGAGAAGGTGGACGGCCTCTAGGAGCCGACGGCCTCAGTCCTACAACCTCGAGGAACTGAATTCTGCCAGCCACCATGTGTGCCTGAATGCGGATCTGGGGCCCCAGATGAAAACAAACCCTTGAATCTACCTTGTGTGACCCCAAACAGAGGATCCAGCTAAGCTATGCCCTCATCATTGACCTCTGGAAACTGTGAGATCACGTGTGCTGTTTTAAGCGGCTAACTTTGCAGTAATTTCTTATGCAGCAATAGAAAACTAATACGTGTAGCTTCTAACAACGTGGTAACAAATTATTTTCTTTCTCTACAGTCTAGAACCGCACTAGACTTGTCAAGGAAACACGGGTGTGGAAACCATGGAGAACCCACTTCAGTCCAACCCACTCCCCACAAACTTAGAACTGTAGTAACATCCACAAGGGGTCATGAATAAAGCAGTTTTTCTTTCTCTTGTTAAGTAGAGAAAAAACAAAACAAAAAAACAAAAACAGAAGAAACACTTCCTCTTGCAGCCGGAAGCGAAGGAAACCAGAGCTTCATGTTTAGTCAAACTGATTGCTCACAGGATGGTCCCAAGGCGGTCGAACTTAGCCCCAAACTGGAAGTGGTCAGTAAAAGTGACGGAAATGCTTTGGCTCCCTCAACACACAAAACTCTTTCCAGATTTTAAGTTAAATTTAAATTCTCCTTTAGCAGTAACACTCAAAAACCTTAAAACACCTTACCTTGCAAGGAGGACGCAATCAACATTCTTTATCTTCCCCAAAATTAAGGCATCAGAAGGCTGCACATAATGAATAATGGTTACGACTCAGTGATTTGAAAACATGTATAAACAATTAAAAAGCTGTCACTTAATTGTTCGACCTTGAAAAGATTCATGGACACCCAGGGTTTGAAGATACACTTTAAAGAAGAGTGTAGATGTGATAGATAATCACTCAATAAATATTTACTGAGCCCTTTACAAGCAGAGGACTCGTAAGGCTGCCACAGGTGCGAGGGTAGGTGTCATGCAGGGAGACCTATTTGTAGCAAGCACCCCAGGGGGACTCTGACAGCAGACTGGTCAAATACAGCTGTGCTGAGGCACCTGTCAGGTGTGAGAGGGAGGCCCAGAGGGGAGGGGAGGCTGCTGTCAGCGGATTTAAGGACTCGGCACTGGAGCTGTTTGCTCTGCTAACCAGCTAGGAGACACTCATGGATGCCCCGAGGTGACGTTCTGAGATTCCGGGGGGGGGGGGGGGAGAAAAAAGAAGGCTAAGAAGTGAACCAAGTTTACAGCACAACTTGGGGGACATGAAGTCACTGTAAGAATTTGGCTGAAACAGAGGGCTGGGTTGGGACTGGCAGGTGCAGGGATCTTCACAGCAGGATCAAAGAACAGCGATGGGTGGAAGTAACCCCGTGAAACTAGGAGCTGACCGGAGCTGGGTGACTCGGGGGTTGGGAGAGCAAGCTGCCTCTTCCAACAGAGAAGGAGGGTTTTATTTCCAGTTTGGCTGTGCAGTTGTGTTACGAATCCCACCCTGGGCCAGGGCTTTACTTCGTTAGACGCTCCCTCCCACGGTCCATCTCCTAGGTTACCATGATGCGTGACCTATTGGCTCCAAATTAGCAACTGATTTAAATGCAGAGAACGGAAGGGTACAGTTGCTATGTCTAAAATGAGTAGGTGGCTTCTAGGAATATAAAGTGAGAAGTACTCTGCACATGCTCAGAACAAGAAGTGCAAGCCATCCTCAGGGACCCTGTGGGGGGGGGGTGGTGGCTGGTGGGACCCACTGGCGGGACCCGGGACAGGACTCCCGGCCCCTCCCGGCTTGGGGCAGGCAGTCCTGGGCAGATAAGACAAAAGTAATCAAAAAACTTTTAAAAACTGAACAACAAAGTCAGCAAAGAGACAGGAAAAAGCCAGTATGTCTCCATTAACTGGGTATTAACCTTGCCAAACGGAGTATCCACATATTTCTCAGTTCTTCCTTCTAAGATTTCTGGATCATCCAGGCCTGTTCCACCAATTATTCCAATCTAAGGGAGGAAAAAAAGATACCAGATTTTTCATTAGAAAACAAAAATCATTATTTTAAGCAAACTTGTTTCCTCATACGCGCTGCTCCTCTCCATTCCTGCTAAGCCCTAGTTGTTTTTAAAAATCTGAAATTACTGAAAAACAGTCATTCAAGAAACCATTTGAAGGCCATCTGTATTCCAGAAATAACCAACATGTGGGTCACCCTTTTGGACTTTACCACATTTATTGCTGGTAATTTGAAAAATTAGCAGTGAACAGTACTTTAGTTTAAACAGAAAACCAAACTTAAAAATAGGCAAATGTGGTTGCAGAGAGTACTCTCTGATTTTCCACTCTCTACCAAATGGGCTACAGAATAAACAGTATTCAAAAGATTACCGAGATAGAAAGTATGTTGTACAGGCACTCTGTCATGCTTTCTCACTGCTCCATTAGTTAAAGGAACAAGAAAGAGCCCTGGCTGGAGTGGCTCAGTTGGTTGGAGCAAGGTCCCTTACACCAAAAGGTTGCAGGTTCGATTCCTGGTGAGGGCACATACCTAGGCTGTGGTTCAGTCCTCACCAGTGTATGGGAGGCAGCCAATCAATATTTCCCTCTCACATCAAAGTTTGTTTCTCTCATTCTCTCTCCCCACTTCTCTACAATATGCCTATTTGAAGAAACAAAACAGATTTTCTCTCTTTCCTGTGCCACTCAAATCAGAACTGCCAGGGATCACAGGTAGGAGAGTATGGAATAGCACAAAAAGTTAGCCTCACATATACTTACAAAACCCAAATGTAAATATAAATAAGTCATTCAAAGTAGTCCTAACTTAAAAAAAAAAAAAATCCCAGCGCTGCCTTGCATTTTCCAGAAAACAACGGAATAGTCCTTGTCTTCAGGAACCACTCGGAGGGAAAGAAACCAGGTGCTGCTGTCTAGACTTACTCTAATTTGATGACTAAGAAACACAAACAAGAATGATTACAAAGATAACAAAAATATTAACTAGCCAGCCAACTAAAAATTAAATAAATGAAATCGTTAGGAAGGTTGCTCCCTAGGGGAAGGCAATGGCCCCTCTTAGACTCCCGGGCACGGCACCTTGCAGAGCTCAGGCCCCGCTGCTGTGTGGCCCAGGGGCCAGGGCCGCCACACCCCCCCAGACTGACCGGCACCTCTCATCCTGGGGGATCCACCACCCCAATCCTCCTGACTCCTCAGAGACCCTGCCCTGTAGAGGTTAGGTTCCCAGCAAAATCTTGGTATTTCAGTCGTCAGCAAGAGCCCTGGCTGGGTAGCTCAGGGCCTCATCCTAATATGCCAAGGTTGCAGGTTCGATCCCCAGTTAGGGCACATACAAGAAGCAACCAATGAATGAATAAATTCATTGGTGGGGCAGCAAATCAATGCCTCTCCTTCTAAAAAATGTTAAAAACTGTCAGCAACAGGCAACAGAGATGACAATTTATTAAGAAACCTAATGGAAATTGAGCTGAACATTTTTTTTTTCAATGAAAAGCTTTAAATCTATTTTCACTTGAGAAAAATTTCCACTAAATGGAAGAAAGCAGCTCCTTGGGGAAAAAAATTGTGAGTTAAGAATTAACTGAACATCTGAGTACTTTCCAGATCAGGTCAGCTGGTTTATATTAATATAAGTGAAAATATAAAATTAGCATATAAGGAAAAATGGTTACCTCTCTGGCCCTCAGTTTCCTCAAGAAAAAAAGTCAACAAAAGAGAAAATAAGGGCAATTTGGTAAGACTCTGCTGAAGGCCTGGCTGCTAAATGATGTAGAACTTTCCCAACTTCCTCAAGTGCCTAAACCAGTTTTAAAAAATCTATGCCAACCCCATGTCTTTACCTTGTTACAATTTTTAACATCAAAGGTACAGACTAACCACTTGGCCACATTTAGTGTTTTTAAATCAACTGAAATGTTCACTCAAAGGAACATTTGAATTTAAATCATGCCAGTCCAACAGAATTTTTTCTTTTTAAAGATCACAGTTTCATGCAACCCTAACCCATCCTCTGGCTGGCTTCTCCATTTTATCCTTCATTCCAAGTCCCTCTGTAGCACCACCGATCACAGGGGACTGACTAGTAACTGTCTGGCACATGCCCCACGGAACTGAACTGCTGACTCTGAAATTATTCTCAGTGTAATCTTCAGGGATTCAGCCTCTGCGAAAACCTCCATTTATTTTTAAACACATGACCTTTTTTGACTTGGCTGTTTCTGGATGTCCCCTGGGGCATCGCATCTCACATTCTGGACTGTCAGGCTCATATACACAAAACACACCTGACTGTTTTGAAACCAGGCTCAGATAAGAAATGCTAACAGGGATCCTACTGAAGTTCAGGGCCTTTGAGTCCGTCCATCCTCAGCAGCCCCAAGCTCCAGCCCACACCACACTGGCTACATGATAACCTTGCATCAGGGAGCTGGTCATTCAGCCCTCTGCAAGGAACATGTAGTACCCGGCATGAAAGCAAGGGCTGCTATTGTTAGCCGGAAAGGCCAGGATGTGGTCTCTGGCCCTGGAATTATCTACAGGAGAGTCCATCCAGTCCCCAAACTGGTGCTAGTTGTTTATGGAAACATTTACCTTACAAGAGACACAAAACAAGTGTAGCAAGTGAGTACTGCCACCCCAGGGAATTGAATTTCTAACCATTTTCTTTTCTTTTTTTTTAAATTAATTTTATTTAGCTGTTTTTCAAGTACAGTTTTTTGTCTATTTCTCCCATCTAACCATTTTCTTCATGCAGCTGTAGATTGAGGCCGCAGTGCCAAGATGTGGCAATGTCGCCACCTGCTGGCCCCACAGTAAAGTACCACGAGGACGAAACTTCCAAGCAGGGATAGCCTAATTTTGCAACTTCTAAATTCAAGTCAACTCAATGCCAGCATTGGTAATGCTTTGATGAAAAAAAAAAAAAAAAAAAAAAAAGTAACAGTGCTGCCCTAAAGGTTGTGGGTTCAATCCCTGGTCAGCGCAGGTACCTAGGCTCAGGGTTCGATCCCAGGTCAGGAGCAGGACAGGGTGAGCGCAGAAGGAAACCAATGGATGTTTCTGTCACACTGATGACTCCCCCCTGCTCCTCCCGCTGCATCCTCTCCCTCAGTTTCTCTAAAAATCAGTAAACATATCCTCAGGTGACGATATAAAAAAATACATTGATGTTTCTCTCCCTCTCTCCTTCCCTTCCCCTCTAAAGATAAATAAATAAATAAAATCTTAAAAAAAAAAAACTGTATCTGAGCTATTACACGTCACAGGCACTATGCTACGTGCTTCAACGGCCTTTACCTCGTTTGATCTTCACAACTCTCCTACAGGACAGACCTTACAGTACTGTACCCATTTTACAAAATGAAAAGAGAAAGCATAAAAATTAAAAGCCCCCTCTATGAGCCAATCACAAGGAGCCAAGCCGGAATAGGAACCCTGGTCTTTCAAGCGTGACCACTACGATGTGCTACCTTCCAATATCCCCTGGGATTCCTTACAACATCATACCCTATTAGACAATTTTTGTCTCCATCCTGTGAGAAAACTGATGCTCAGAGAGGTCAAGTTGTAGACCAAGGTCGCCGAGCAAGCTTAGAAACAGTGATGCCGGGTATCAGCCCTCCACCTTGGAGGGCTGGGGGACTCTCTGTTAGTGACCTCGCACAGCTCAGGAAGCAACGACAATCTTACCAGGCCTCCTGGGCCAGAAGCAACAGCCCTGGGTCTAGGCACATCTTGGCTGGCTGCCTGCCTAGGAAATATGCTCCAGCACTGAGACGGAACTTCTGGGCCAACTCTGCCCTGCCAGGACTTCTTCATTACACAAGACAAAGTTCTGCATAGGGATTCCTGGCCAACCAAGGTCAATGCCAGATTTTAACCACTAGTAATTCATCCCACACTTTCCCACTGACAGCCATCAAGCCAGTGTCCTTAAGAGACAATTTGACTTTTTGAGACACTATGAAAGCATTTTACGTAACTAAATATTGACTTACTTGGGCAGAATGGTTACTTCCAGCAATGCTGAAAGGGCTCATACTAAACCTGGACCCAGGAGATTCCATACACTCCGCTTGGTTTCAGGAACCACACACCATCACTGACACCTGGACACACAACCTAAGGAACTCCAGGGTACCACTCTCCAAACACCAGAACCCCGAGCAGCTGAGAGTAGCTCCTGCCAAGCGGGTGGGCCGCATCTGAGTGTTCAAGCTCAGGAAGCAAAAGAGCCAGAGCTGGAGCTGGCAGCAACCGCTGGTCTGAGCTCTTCAGTCCCTCAGCTCTGGCTGCCACTGACAAGTCTGGCCAGTGCAGCGGACGGAAGCCCTCCTCCTTATTGAGCCAAACTGGTTTTGAGGCCTCCCAGGGCCTTGATAGATCCCGGAAGTCCAGTTGTATGGGGAGAATGTGGCTACAGTTCTGTCAGGGTGGAAGGCCTGTTCAAAACCTGCAATAATGTCCATGGAAAGAGCTGCTGGCTCCATCTCTGACAAGATAACCCCTGTATAAGCCACCCCTGTGGGTGATGATTATGGGCTCAACTGTGTCCCCCATATCTATATGAAGCCCTAACCCACAATACCTCAGAGTGTGACTATCTGGGGAAATAGGTTATTTGAAGAGACAGAGTTAAATGAGGTCTTTGGGGGAGGTGGGAGGGCGGGGGGGGGGGCGTTATCCAGCACGACTGGGACCTTATAAGACACTAGGGCACAGGCACGCAGGACAACCATGTAAAGACACAGAAAGGCCATCTGCCAGCCAAGAGGAGAGGCCTCAGATAAAATCTAATACCTTGATTTTGAACTTCCAGCCTCCAGCATCATGATGAAATAAATTTCCGTTGCTTAAGCCACCCAATCTATGGTACTTTGTTATGGTAGCCCTAATAAACAAGTGAGTAAGACTATATATTTTGGTCAGGAATAACTGAGAATTTAGAACATCCATAGTTTTTATTTCACCAACTGCAAAGTCAAGA